ACCACCATGCAATTAGCTGGCCAATTAAACCGTGAGCCCACAATAAAGCGGAGCTCTCTCTCTGACGTCGGGCCTGTGGCTACACTTGAGATATGCCATGCTATTTCCGCCGAATGGGGATTACAACATCTAGATCGCGTAGTGAAAATGTAATGCAAGATATAATCATAAGTTGTGAACCCGTTTAAATGAAGGATAAACTGGGCAGTCGGTCCGAGTGATCAATCATCGCATTGTCCACAGTTTAAAGATTAATCTGTTTGACTACCTGGGGATGGGACTGCGACTGGGACTGGGAGTGCGACGGGGACTGCCACTGGCGCCGTTGATGGGCCACAATGAAATGACAAACGGTAGCTAACACAAAAAAGATGCTTCAAAGTGCCTGTCATCCGTTGTTACCTTTTTTGTTAGCTCATTTTTATGTTCGTTTCGTTTGGTTTCGCTTCGTTTCGACGTCTTTTTCTCTGGCTTGAACGAAACTGAACTTGACATTCAATTGCTTGGTTTTTTTTTCTGTTGGCCCTGACTTTGGACCACGGAGCGGGGACCGCAGCACGTGACGATAATCGGCGCTGATGATAATTGTTTCATTTACTTTCATTTACTCTCACAGGGAAGACATGGAGAAGGTGAATGTCAAGTTTCACGAGAATAACTATACCGTGTCATATCAGCATAAGAAGATACTGCAATTTGTTCCTGAACTGAGTATTGATAAGAACACGCCCATAGTCACGCCCAACATCCCATTGCTGGTAAGTGTGCAAGTAGCTCTACCTCCCTCCCTCCCACCTTCTTACTGTAACCCGTTATCGTTGCTTCTCTCTAACGCACAGACCCTGACCAGCCTCAGTCCGAAACTGGGCTATCTCCTGTCCAAAACCATTTCCGTGGTCATCACGGCAGCCAATTTCAAGCCATTTATCAACGTGACCGCAGATCAGTTGGTATTTGGCTATGACGATGCGCTGGTGAGTCTCGCCCATCGATTCTATCCGAAACACATGCGGCCCATGGAGCGGATGGGACTCCTGTTGGGCCGCAACGGCACCCTCACTGAGGTGTCCACCATCAAGACGGGCTACGAGGGCATGGATCAGTTTGGGTACATCGACTCCCTGAACGGCATAAACCACCTGCCGCACTGGAACGAGGAGCCCTGCACGAGTGTGGCCGGATCGGAGGGTTCGTTCTTTCCGCCGCGGGACATCACCAAGTCGGAGATGGTCTACATCTACGACAAGGATCTGTGCCGCATTATTCCGCTCAAATACGATCAGACGCTCGAGAAGGATGGCATTGCCGCGGATCTGTTTCGGCTGCCCAACAACTCGTACGGTGACTCTGCCCACAATCCCGAGAACAAGTGCTTCGACTCGAACGAGTACGAGCCGGTGCGGGGTCTGCAGAACATCAGTCCGTGCCAATACGGTGCACCTGTCTATATATCCAATCCGCACTTCTACGACGCCCATCCCGATCTGCTGGACTCCGTGGAGGGACTCGAACCGAATCGCGAGAAGCACGAAACATACTTCAAAATACAACCGGTAAGTGGATAGATAGTGGAACTAGTTCCCTTCCACACCTTCCTCTCTAATGATCTTCTTCTAATGCTGCCCCAGAAACTTGGAGTACCCCTGGAGGGCAAGGTGCGTATCCAACTGAATCTGAAGGTGACGCGTGCCAAGGACGTCTATCCAGTGCGTGACTTCCGTGACTTTGTGTTTCCGGTCATGTGGCTGGAAGAGGTAAGAGATCAACACTACACTCCCCTCCCCAATAGCATCATTCTTTATCCGATGTTTGCATCTTTTTCTCTTTCTTTCTTAGGGCATCTCCGAGCTCACTCCGGCCATCAAGCGCTGGATCTATCTTGCCACTGTCATAGCCCCGAATGCCGTGCCCATTGGCTCTTATCTGATGATAGTGGGCGGCGCCTCTGCTGTGATCTTCAGCTTTGTGCGGGCCTACCAGAACTTTGTCTTTGCCCGCGATCCCTCGCTGGAGATCCTCGAGATGGGACGCCGATCGCTGCGGCGTGGCAGCAGCTTCATAGCCCACCAGCAGCACAGACTGCTGCTGCACCATCGGGATAGCTACTCCCTGCTGCGGCACGGGCCCATGGCGGCCTGCATGGGCGACAACGAGCGAGAGGACGCCCAGCCCATCATTGACGGCAGCCTCGAGAGCAGCGGGACGATAGTCAGTCAGGGTTCATAGTTAGAGAATGAGATTTTGATAGTGATCTAAGAGTGTGTGCGTGTGTGGTGTGTGTGCATGCTGTGATTGAGTGGGTGTATCTGTGTATGTGGTATAGTCTTACCCTAGTTCTAGTTTCGTTCTGGCCAAAATTGTGGCATATACTTGAAGTTCTTGCCACTGGATATGCATAATCAACCTTCATGACTCAGTTTTCAGTTCTACTCATTCGTTTCATCCTGTAGATAGATTTCTGTGTGTAAATTTTCGTTCTGAAAAATGCTACAAATAATTCACTAGTCAAAGTTTACAATGTGAAAAATGCGAGCGCTCATTTCTAGTTTTGTTAGACGTAACTACCATTTAGTCATAGCCATTAACTATTTTATGTATGTGTTAAATAATTTTTAGGCTGAGGATGTACGAAATTATGAATAATAATATGAATTTTGTAAACTGAAAGAAGGCATTGCATTTGTATAGAATTTCCAGTAAGTATAAGTCTCTTCAAGGCTCTGCGCTTCCCAGCTACTCTTGAAGGCTACTCGAAGAGAATCCTTTTGAGACCGACCCCATAAATCTGCTGCCTAAGCATAAATCTCCTTGTTAACAACAGATTCTCCTGCTCCAGCCTCTGGCAATTCCCCAAAAACAATTCTCCAGTTCTTATAAATCAAAGCAAATAAAGGAGAGAACACTCTGTAAAAAGTGCACTGGCAAATGGACGGCGGCAACTGGCCGCAAGCTTCTGTTGATTGACGCACTTTTGACGTTTTCACAATTCCACACACAGCTCAGCAGTTTACTCTACCCGCCCACACAGCCACACGGGTCGTATGAGCAATAAATTAAACACAAGTTCTCGGAGAGGGAGGCGGGCGTCGTGTGGGTGGCTAGCTCTGGCCCGGCTGCAGTGCCTTTGTTTTGGCCCCAAAAGTGGAATAAAAAACAGTCAGAAGAAATATGATGTTCTGCAATGTTGCCTGAAAAGTCAAGAAAAGCGTAAAAGGAAGAGAAAAACAGAAAGAGAAAAGCATATCAAGAGAATAAAATTTCATGGCAGGCAGGAGGCAAGCGGCAATCGGAAAGCGGCACACGATTGCGGCATGTGGCAGCTATAAGAAAAGCGTTTTCATTTCATTTGGCAAAAATGTTTATACAAAACCAATTTTACAATTTTCGATTCAATTTCTGTTGCTGACATTTCACTTAAACGAAAACCTTAAAGGCGCAATTCATTTCGCCGCTCCCCATCTCTTTCAGTTCTCTCTCTCTCTTCAGTTTCTGTGTGTGTGTGTGGTTTGTTGTGGCAAGGGTGGCAAGGGGCTTCCTTGGGAGAACTGTAACGCAAGGCTGTGGCAAAGGGCCTGCGACTATTATCATATATATATAATTGAAACAGTTTATCCACGAAAATGAACCATGAAAAACTTGTTTCCGCTTCTCTAATTTCCGCCAGGCACTTGGAAATGCATAAAAAGCCGGGTGATAAACTAATATTCGGCAGCAGCATGTGCCACCAAATGCGTCATAAATGTATGCCACACACACACACACACGCAAAAACACCCTACTACACTGCCACACCATCCTGCATCCCTCGACACAGCCATCCCATCATCCAAGAGCAATATCATCGCATGAAATGGCCGCCAAACCTCAAGGACAACAAAAGTTAAAAATTCGTTTATGGCGAGCCATAAAATCGAATAAAAACAATTGGCACATCAAAATCCGCACCGAATGCCAGAGATCTTCATTGCCACTTTGAGGGAGAGTGTGCCAGAATGGGGGGGGGAGTGATTTCTATGGAAAATCGCAATGCCTGAGTACAATTCAAAAAATCCTGGCCATATGTTGCAGGCGGCAAAAAGCAGCCAAAAGAAATGGCTGAAGTAAATAAAAATAATCGAAGCACATAGCCTGAGCAAGTCGAAGCTTAGAGTACACTACAAAAAGAGAGTAGAAGAAAATCTACATAGTAGAAGCTTCAACTCCCTTGTATCGTAGTTGATACCTTCATTAGAAGGATCGTGGAAATATTCTTTATTGATTTAATGCATCTCCAATGCATCTGCCGTTTGCTATCGAATAAATCTTGGCATACTTTTAGGCTGAAGCTGTCTGCTTGCCGCCTGAATGACGATGACAAACTTCCGCCAATCTATTGAAATCTCATCATAACTATCAGCATGACACATGAATCACACCCACCAACCATCATAGAGTATCCACAGAAGTCAAGGCAAATCACAGCCTGGGGGTTGGTTTTGGTTTTCTCCGTTGGCAGTCGAAGGCCTACCCTACCCTGGGATTCGTTTCAGGCGTCAGCTGGTTGGCCACTTAGGCCGTTGATGGAATTGCTTATGAATTATACAAGAATATTAGAACGTGCCCAGAGATCCACTTGCACTTGCCACGAATCTGTTTGCTCTATTTGGTCGCCTTGGAATATTTCAATTGCCTCCCCATCCTCCCCACCCATCGTTGCGCCACCATAAGAGAGAGAAAAAGAAGGAAAACTTTGCTGTAAATACTTTATTGGAAAAGTATGTGCCAAATGGTTATTGGCAGGAGGTGGCCATGGAGGCTAGCGGGAACTCGGACCAGGGACAAACAAATTGGGCGCTAAGTTGGCTGTTATTGGTTTTTATGGACAGAAGTAGAGGGAGCCCGCCCCGGGCATAATTTGGCTTTTGTTTGCCCAAAAGCGGCTGACCTTGATGATGATGATGATGGCATAATTGAGGCTGCCATTGCGGTCGAAATGAAAATGGTTCGTTCTATTATTCGTATGTTTAATATTTGTACATCTTTTATTGTTTATGGGTATATAATTTACAGGCAGATAATTCGCATTTCTGCGTTTCCTTAGTCAATGTTTACATTTTAGGCACAAGCTATACAAACTGTTAAATTAGTCGGAGCTTACAACTAAAGATTGGCATTCAGTCGGGCAGAGGCACTCACTCGCACACAATTACACACACTCTATTCATTCAAACACATTCACACACGAGAGACATAGGGAGAGAGAAAGAGAGAGAGAGAGAGAGGCAAGCACAAGGCACAATTCAAATTCAAAACGAAACGGCTAAAAGCTGTTAACCGTTAACAGTTAACCGCTAACCGTGCTTAGCTAAGCTTGCAACCAATTTCGAGGTTGTTGTCCGTGCTAAGCTTGGCAGGGTTGCTGTCGGCTGACTCGTCGGACGCGTTCTCAGTGATAGCGGGAAAACTGCGATATGCTGTCCTCATTTGGCGGTGCCACCAACAAAATGGGCTGCAGATTCAGACCCGTAATGTGGGGATTGGATTTCCGTGAGCCTGCCAAACTTATGGCATCCGTGAGATAGGCATTGTTGATTTCACCTGCAAGAAGCGTGAAGGTAAGATAAGACACTGGAACCCATGTAACCCATTGGAACCCATGTAATTCGCGACCTACCTTTGTACAGCGAAGTCTGATAGAGCGGATCCGGCTGCAGACGCACGTGCCGCGTGGCCAAGATGAATGCTAGGGTGGCCAACACGACACCGTCCACGCAGCCGATAATGGCAAGGGGATAAGCCCAGCGAATGCCGCAGAGGCCCAGCTCGAATCGATTCGCTTCCGGGCCGCAGATCTTGCGGAAATCATCCGAATTCCAGCCAAAGGGAAAAGCAGCGCAGGCCACAATCATGCACAGAGCTAGAAAACAAACAAAAAGCAGAGACATGATAGAGAGACATCAGAATGTACGAGTGCCACAGAACGTGCTCTATTCGATATGGGGTTGGTAGATAGAGAATTTAAGCTTAAGGCCCCCCACCTGATATTATTTGCATCCATCCGCAAATATAAAAAACACGCGTTGACTTCATAAACAGCAAACAGACCAACAAAAAGATGGTCATCAAGGCCAGCCCAATGGCGCCCATCATGAAGAATGTTGCCAACTACACAAAAAAGATATGCATTGAGAGAGTTTTGTTTATTATTTGTTTGTATTTTGCAGCTGCAATGGCCAATCCACTCACCTGAAACGAGAAGGTTGGCACCGCCAATACGTTCTCCCAGCGGCGGCGACAATTGTCAAAGATCTCATCGCGCTGACACTGCTGCCACAGACCCAGCCGGCCAGCCCCATCATTGTCCGGATCCCCAATCCATTCTGCAACAGCAAGACAAACGGTTTACAGAGAGAGTAGAGAGTTGCGTTGCTGAATTCCCTGGCAGATTTATTGTTTGGCAGAAAAAGTCCCACTCACCTGGCGTCACAAATGCCACAATGCCAATGATCGCATAGCAGATGGTGAAGATGGCCCACAGCACTCCGATCGCCTTCGAGTTGCGTATGTACTTGGAGGCGTACAGATGTGTGGTGTCCACGTACTCGATCTTTGTGCCCATTTCTGTGCAGCCTCTTTGTTTGCTTGATTACTCTGTCTGCGAATGGAGTTAAGTATGGTTAAATGTTGGGAGTCCGACTTGAGGGTAATAATGATGCTGGAAGAGGAAACCAGAGCCAACCAGAGCAGCCACAACAATTGCGTTTTTGTCGGTCATAAATCGTTTTTTAAGCTTATTAAATTGCCACAGCTCTTGGTTTGATGACCTCGCTCCCAGTAATGGCCTCAAGTGTGGTATCTAGGGCTAGTAATTGAGAGCCATGCATCACCATACCATTTGTGTGTGATGCAAGCAGAGGATGATGTATTCCCTTTCTCTATGCAACTCCAGCAAAAGCATTTTCAAATCATTAAACATGGTTTTTATGAAATTTTCCCCTTCACTTCAATCAAAACTCAGCTCCAAAAACAAAAAAAAACAAAACACATTCGCATTTGCCAATTCAGCTGTGAACAACAAAAAATCGTTTAAAAAAAGATACAGATACAGCTTGGGGCTATATTTTTGGCAACATTTTTACTCTCTCGATGGCCAAGTGGCTTATGTAAATCAAGCAGATAATTGCTAACAACCATTAGCTTTCCACGGTTGCCTCACATCTGCCACTTATTCTATGTCACAGAGGGAGAGGGAGAGAAAGAGAAAGAGAACCAGAGTCGGAGTCGGGAGATCGGCGAAAGACATTATGCAAAAGATTATTGAACGAGTCTGAGGGTCTAATTTTAGGCATGATTCATGGCCCAAGCTGGCCAACAGAGCGCTTGCCATCTATCAATAAAATAAACGTGTTTCGCTTTCAGTCAAATCGGATTTGTCTGAGAGAAAAATGTGGCCGACTAAAATGCATTTTCATTAGCTTTTGTCTCTGCCAGTTCCCAGCCCCAAACTCCCCATTGCGTATGCTTAATTTATTATGCTTTTCATGAGGGAAGGGAACCATGGAAATTATAACACAAAAGACTGTGGCTGTGACTGTGAGAAACAAGCGCCTCTCCTCTCTCAATGTTGGTCAAGATTAGTTCATTAAGGTGAATTAAAACCCAAGCAAACAAAGAAAATGAGACTCAATTATGGCTCGAGTCCGAGTCCGGGTCCCCGAGTGCGAGGCCAAGGCAAAGCGGAATCGATTAGCATTTTAATGCTAATAACAAAAGAGAGAGTCGTTCCAGAACAAACACAACCCAGTAGCACAAAGAAACTCCACACCCCGTGTGGCACGTGATAACTAAAGTCAATGATGCTTTTGTTGGAAAATCGTGGCCGTGAGTCACAAGAAAAGCCAAGCCTGAAAAGCGAGTCGAGTCTCTGGAAAATTATAGTGTACCAGTGGAGTGTCCAGAGACAGAGCCAGACGCAGACGCAGACCCAGACACGGACACGGACGCAGATGCAGTCACAGTCGCTGTCATAATTGCAGACAAACCGCAGACGAATAATAATTTCCTTTATTTCTGTTTGAATTTTCTGTGTAGTAATTTGTGAGTGCATTCATTCGATGGGACTTCAGATGGGTTTCTGGGCTGTACATAACTCATTCCATGGGATCGATCGTGACCGAAAAGAAAGTGACCAGCGAAAAGCCTTCGAGTGGAAGTACCAAAGCAGCAACGAAACACTGCTATGACGAAGCACATATATACACGTATGGTCAAGTCTCTTGGGTTACATCCGCTCACCGGCCGGCGCGGCGGCGGCATCAGCTTCAGCCTCAGCTTCGGCTTCGGTTTCGAGTTTCACTTACAGCCAAGAAATACAGGAAAGAAATACAGAAAAATCAAAGCTAAATTAACAGAAATAACAGAGGGACCGCCAGTATTCCACTCGTATTCGCTGGCACAGCATTTAATGAAATTTCAGAAGCCAAAATTGAAATAAGGTCAGTTGGGTAATGCCGCTGGCGGTTGTTACCTTAAACGTGGCTCAAAGCTAAACTGAAATATGCCACTGCGAGTGCAATTGCATTGGCGAAAATTGCCTTGGACGGGCGAGCGGGCTTTCTTTTTCCATCAGCCGCCAACATTGGTCATTCATTCAATCTCCACCCGAGACTGCGACTGAGACTCAGTCTGAGACCAAGATGACTTTCTACTTTGTCAAACATAAATCTCACATTAGGCACAGATACCGACACACGGGTGAGGGAGAGGTGAGTGTACCCTCACCTCACCCCCCCTATTAGCCACGCACTGACAATTAATTTTCACATTTTCACAGCTTTTCCCTCCTTTGCTCAGCTAATTATGTCTAAGCGGAGGAAAAAGTATTCATTGTTCCGCATACCGCTTCGGGGGGGAGTCTCTTTTTGGCCGAGTCTTGTAACTGGCTTGTTATGTGTGTTTATGTGGTTGGTTTTGGCCAACAAAGTGGAACCTAAGACAAGTGGAAGACCGCCTGATGGCTTGATTAACACGTTCATACTCGCAGCAGTTGTCGGTTGCTAAATTTGAGGCACCACCACACCGAAAACACCCAGCCAGAAACCAGAAACTGGTTCCAAATATTTCAGAATTATGCGGAAATGGCTTATAAACATGGCTTTTGTGTTCGTTCAGCCAGAATGTTGTTGTGGTAACATATTTTGTTTTTATTTGGAATTTTTTTTTCGCTTTTGCCCATTTCTTTGGGTTCCCCTTTTGCATACTTTATTGACTGGACAGACGATTTCTTTTTCAACAGGGAGAACGGATGGAATGGGATCGGATCGGATCGGAGGGCGAAGAAGTGAATGAGGGTTGAAGAGAGAGAGAGAGAGAGTTGAAGAACCGGAGAACCGGCGAATGTTATTTTCCAGTCAGTTATCCAATGCAGCATTGACAGCATTTACAGCTGCCAACCCATTAGCCATCCATCCAAATGTGGACTTGGAGAATCTTCAGGTTTGTTTTCTTAACTCTCTCGAGTACTTGAGTCCAATCAGGTCCGCTCACTCATTCGTTCCCAGTTCCCCCTCCCACCATCCCCCAGTTCTGTGTGGTGAGGTATGTGTCTCCGTTTTTGTGTGCTGTTTTTTATTAGATCACGATTTTGATGTTGGCAAACATTCGCGCATACCAAAAGCCAACACACAGCAGAGAGTATCTATCCGACAGCAGAAACCACAACTAAAACTACAATGGGGGTCCAGGTCCATACATAATAGTAACTCACACCGAGCCGAGCGATTCTTCACTCCACAGACAGGGGCGCACTTGGGGCCAAGGTGCAAAAGGGTTTTGGGGACGCTTCTACAGCCGGGCACTCTCAAACATTTACTTCCAAAGCCTTAGCTATTCTGCAAGTCCCTTTCATTTTTCCATCTTTCTACGGGTGTTATTTGAGGCGCCCTATTTCGATGCCCTTCAGAGCGAAGGCCGCCGCCACTGCGCCGCTGCAGAAGCCTCAACGGAGATGTTCGTTTGCCTCAAATAACAAAACAAAAACAAAAACAACACAAAAACTGTGCCTCTTTCTGGTTTTTCACGTTACTTGCGCGCGCGCGCGCACTCAGTTTCTGCCGCAGTCGCTGCAGCCGTTGCAGTCGCTGCTGCTGCTGCTGTTGCTGTTGCACTTTCAATACGCATGGCTTCCACAAGCTTTATATGTATATGCATATGTATTCGAGTGTGCGAATGTGAACGTTGCAGTTGCAGCTCTGCAATATTGTTGCTGTGCCTAATGTTGTATTTTTTTTTAAAGGTTTTTCACGTTTTTATGTTGGATGAACTTTGTTGCTTTCTGCGGCATGGTTGTTGTACATTTTTGTTTTTGTTGCTTTGATATACTCGTATGCTTTGCTTTTGTTGTAGAATTTTTAAATGGCATAAAGGGGCGCAGCGCAGTTTTGTCGGCACCTTTGGCTGACATTTACTTTTGCCGTTAAGTTTGAACTTAATTCGAGATTCGCACAACATTTGCTTACAGTGCTCGAGAACAGGTTTCGCCTGGACAGCGGCTGATTTGTTTTGTATCACGGCTTATATACTATATGATTATTTGTATTATAATTTTTTGTTATTGTTTGGCGTTTCTATTTGCATTAATTTGGTGCAAAACTCGCGACTGAACTGAATTTATTTGCAGGGCAGAGATAGATCCGTTTCTTTTGGTGAAACCCGCTGTGAGAACCGTCGCGTTCAGCGCTTGAAATACGTGTGAGACGTTGCTGGTCGGGCTTGGCATTGGAATACAAAGCTGCACACAGTTATACCTGAGTTATACCCGTGTTTAGTGAGCGAGAGAGTGCTGAGAGAGAGAGAGAGAGTGTGCAAGATCGTGGCTGCCTTCGGATAAGTGCAGCGAAAATTGTTGGCATTTCTTTTCAATTATTTTGTTGATGATAAAATGCAGCAAACGACTGTGTTTCCCTCGAAGAATTATTGAAATTTCTCCAGCTATCGCTGAGTTAGAGAGAAGAGAGAGATAAAGAGAGAGAGATGCATGCGAAATACCAGGTGAGGGACGGGTCTGTTTGCTACCTGCAGGATGTCGAGGAATTCCTTTGAATACTTTCTTTGTGCAAGGAAATGCTAAAGAAAACAATTGGCCTGGGAAACGTGACGAGATAAGATCAATAGATAAATAAATGAGAAGGAAGGCAGGTAAAAATCCCATTTTCATATAAATTATGTAAATATAACATAATTAAGTCATATTTATTTTACACTTTAACATCCAATACAGTAAAACCAAACCTCTTGAATATCTTTTGAGTTCAATTCAAATTTAGATTTCGCGTACAATTCAAATCACCCGCCAACTATAATTCATCGCATAGCGTCATCTGTCATCTCTAGGATATCGAAAAGCAGCTGGCTATCAGCTGACTCGCCTATCGCCATCGCACGTTTAAATAAAAAATTAAATACAAACTAAAACTTGCCCTTTTTAACAGATAACACGCAAAGAAACATGACTCAAATCAGTGCGGAAGACAAACTCGACTACGTGAAGTCCAAGATTGGCGAATATCCCAACTTTCCCAAAGAGGGGATACTATTTCGGTGGGTTATGGAGAGGTTATCAGACAATCAAGGTTTGCCAGCGATTGACAGTATGATTATTATTATCTTTATGAGCTTGCTCAACTCTCCCAACGCTCTATTAACATGTGTTGTCCTTCCGTCTGTCCCATCAGCGACATATTCGGCGCCCTGACTGATCCCAAGGCCTGTGTCTACCTGAGGGATTTGCTGGTTCAGTACATAAGGCAGAACCAGCCGGAAGTGGAGGTCATCGTGGGACTGGACTCGCGGGGTTTCCTCTTTAATCTGCTCCTGGCCACCGAACTGGGCGTGGGCTGTGCGCCCATACGCAAAAAGGGGAAGCTGGCCGGCGAGGTCGTCTCCGTTGAGTATCAACTGGAATACGGTAGCGTGAGTAGCCGCATCATACGATCTTATAGATTTCCTCAGTATACAAGAAAAATTTCCCTTATAGGACAGCTTTGAGCTGCAGCGTCAGGCCATTCAGCCTGGCCAGAAAGTCGTTATTGTGGATGATCTGCTAGCCACAGGTGGTTCCCTGCTGGCCGCCTCCGAGCTGATCCGAAAAGTGGGTGGCGTTGTCCTAGAGAGCCTGGTGGTGATGGAACTGGCCGGCCTCGAAGGTCGCAAGAAGCTGGACTGCAAAGTGCATTCCCTGATCAAGTACTGAGGGAGGGTTAATGCTGGCCTTCCATAACTGCATTTACTTACCTCAAAGCGGTCGCGTCCCCTTCAAATGGCAATATTTTTAACAACTTTTAACTGTTTAGTGGGTGTGAAATCTATAGTAAAATATTTTTGTATCGAAGTGAATCTTGTGAATGTGTTCTATTTCCGGTTGAAGGTCATTTCTGTATTGTTGTAGAGTTTGTGTTTGTGGAGAATACATGCAATGATATTGGACAGATGTTTGCAACGCAAAGAAGAAAGCATTTCCGCCTGCATAAAATAGATACGGATGAATAAGGTTCAGAATCAAATTTCTGGTTGATATGGCATTATTAATTCAGTTTAAAAATGAAATCAGCCAGCCATATCATAAATTCAATTCCATAGTTGTATTCCTCTGTATGATTCCGATAACTTTTGAATCCACCCACGGCCCCCTGCTGTTGCTCCAATGCAAGATAATGAAACCCTTGCATTTCACTCTCTCTCTCGCTATCTCTCTCTCACTGCGCATTTCACTCTCCCTGCGTCTGGCTAAGAAAGCGACTTTTTCTCTCTCCGATAAACAAATCAAATGGCCAAACAACCACCCCCCAGCAGGGTTTGCCCCGCCGCCCTGGTGGGGGAGTGGAAGACAACTACAACAACCGTAAATAAACAAATATGCAGAAAAGTTATCCATTCGAAGTGCAAATACCCTGGAAGTTCAACGACCACTGAATGGTAGTTTATGGCTGACCCTAAATCTATCCCCAAAAATCGATTTGCTAATCTTTTCATTAGCACTTGGGGCCCCGAATCGCAAGGAAATTATGTAGATAATAGGCTTATAGTGGCTCATATACATATTATAGCTTATCAAGAACACAACGAGTCAAGTGAATGTTTTTCTGCTAGGCCAAACCTATGCTCCAGATCATCATACCCCCTGCTAAGGGGGTGTAGTGTACACATGAACAACATAAAAAGCCGAGCTCAAGGAATCGCATGCGCCGGCAGAGAAGCGGCAGCTTGAAACTGAAACTGCCACGTTCTCGTGGATAGATGAGAGTAGAGTGCAGGGTGCAGAGAGGGCATGCCTGCCTGCCTGCCTGCCTGGGCCTCTGCTCATTTCGTATTTTGAATTTTTCGCATTTGATTTCATTCGTGAAATGTGCGTCGTTCGGTGATGTCGGGCGACGGTTTGTGTTTGGTGACTTTTCCCTTCCGTTATAATCACACCAGCCCCCAAACCCCTTCTCGGCACATTTTTGTTTGGCGAAACCATAAGAGAAACAGTGAGAGAAAGAGAAAGAGTAAAAGAGGAGGCATATAATCACGGCACGCTTTGCAAATTGATATTGATTGCGCGCTTTTCTTCAATTGGCAAACAATTGAATAATAAAAAAAAAAAACTAACAAAATGTTGCCCTCCATTGTGGTTGCTACTGCGGGGAAGACGCAACGAGAGAGAGGGATAGGTAGAGTGCTATACGGGGGAGGGGGTGAAGTGGAGAAAGAGCAAAGGCAAAGAGGCAAAAATGCAAAAGCAAAGCAATGGACAACACGTTACGTATACGCCTCTTACGCCCCGCATTTAGCATTTTGTTTGCCAACTTTTGGTCTCCTTTGTGTGCGTGTGTGTGAGATTGAGTGTTAGAGTGTGAGAATGTATGTGTGTGAGTGCCTTTAATGAATTTAAAATAAATTAGAAAAAATAAACAACAATAAAAGGCCCCCTGAGTACTCGTACCGCAAATTGAAATGTGTTTTTGGGGAGAAACCGCTCTAGAGTATCACACACTGCCTCCCAGCCACTTAATGTCCCCCTTGAGATGCACTCTTTTTTGTACACTTCCCCTCTCCTTCCAAGAACGAGAATGGAGTTGCTTAGAAAATGGAGTTGAAAATCAATAAAAAGAATTGTTGTTTGTTGCAATTAAAAAAAAGAAAAAAGTAAAGAGGAAAACAAACCCCCAATGGAACAAAAGCAAAGGGGAAAGCGTTCAATTGTTTGGCCCAAAATATCAAGCTCGTTGCAGTGACACAATTCAGGCCAAAAGGCACTCGACCATAAAGCAGAATTGTCATCAGGCTGTCAGACACACAAACACCCACACACACACACCGCCGGATTCCATAGCTAGAATGATCTATTTATCTCTTTGGTTACTCTCCCACTATTTAATTTTTTTTTTATACTTTTTTTTTAAGAACATTTAGCACACAAGAACTAAATTTAGCTTTCGCTTCGCAGCCATGAGCAACATTTACAAATATTGTCGCCAACTGCAGGCTAAATTTGCGGTCGCGTAGCCCCCGGAAATGTCTCATGAATATCAATAATAGATATAATATAGTGTATACTATATATATCCAAGAAAACCAATCAACCAACCAAAGAACAACCAACAAAAAGAAGAAACGATCCAAGAGAAATCAGTTCCTATGCAGCTATATTCGAGTTTAAATGAAATTGAGCAAGAGCCTGGCAAATTGTCGCACCATCCGGCGATATTTGCTCATCTTTACGGCCGTCTCGCTGCTGCTACTGCCCCTATCCCTGGTCTACCTGGTGTGGAACGAGCAGCTGCAGAAAATACGTGGATTCGAGGTGAGTGGCGCAGTGGCGCAGTGGGTCAGAGAGTGAGTGTGGGTTGCTTGCCAGAACGAAACACTCCAGTATCCAATTCGGTAGAATGTTCTATTGTAGTTCTGTAGCCCTTTTTTGAGTGGCCAGCAAACATATGCCCTTGCTTTTAGCTATAGATTGTATATTGTATATATATGTATATATAGAAGCTTGTAGAGAATGCCTGCCCCGTGCCCTGCCCAGCCCTGCCCCAGCCAGCCTGCCTTTTGCCCTTCATATCTATCGCCTGACTACAAACCAATCATCGATTGCCCCCAAGTGTCCGTGTCAGTGGAACAGAGAAACCCAGAAATAGAAACCATCTGAAATTGTTATTAAAATTGTTATTTATATTTATGATAGATTAAGCCCGCAATCGTAACAGCCCACTATCGCTGTATAATCATCCAAGTTGTATAAACAATTTGTGAAGTGAAGGGCATTAGCATCCCAATCGGAATGATCTCTATAAATACAATCCGTAAATGAGAGGCAAATGGCAAATGGCAAATGGAATCGAACCAAATATTTCAAAATGGAAAGCATTTTGTTTTGCTATTGTTTATTTATCAATGTTGTTAGCAATTTGAGCATTGTTCTTGCCTTCGCACTTCGTTGCACGTTTATCGGTTTACTTCTCATGGGAACTGGGCTGGGGATCGGATCGGATCTGATCAGCTTATACGAGTGCTAATATCCGAGAGCATTTGCTCTGACCGCCTGATTAGGTGCCAATTAATTCGAAATTAGCTTGGGGATTTCGCCAGCTTTATCGCCTATTTGTGCTTGAAACTGAACAAATGCTGAATAGAGTGAGAATATTCTAATAGGGCAACAATTACGAGCACAAACATACAATGTTCTTGGATTATAGTCACATAAGCTGGCCTGTACCGCCTCCGGGCACGCCCTCTGCCCAACCCAACCCAACCCAACCCTTTGGTTAAGCCGCTTTGCCATCGTTTGCAAATGCTTTGCGTGGTCGTCGGAGACTTGGAGGCGCCCGTGCTCGACCTTGGCCAAATGGTTGGCAAAAAGAGAAAGTAAGAGAAGAAAACATTTGCTTAAATTACACTTAATTGCTTGTGGCATCATAAAAAAGTCATCAATGCTGGCTGCCTGGCTGGCTGGCTGTCCCATGAAAATCGATTCGGAAGGCGGGGGGCTAGCTACTAGGACGACTACTAGAACTGCTACTGCTACTACTACTGGTACTCGTTCTGCTAGTGGGGAGACCACAATCAATAAACGATTTCCCACTGCTAATTTGCATAACATTATCCAAATGACAAATGACAAATGCTTAGGCAGGCAGGCCCCGAAAGTAAGAGAGTAAAAGCTCAAAGAACACGCATATGGCATACGGCGTACTGCAGCGTACAGCGTACAGCGTGTTGTATGCTCTAGTTTGGTTTCGTAGCTTTTGTTTTGCCCGGCATACACGCATAATTAAGCACAGCATTCCACAAAACACCCACGCACACACACACACCCACACACGCACACTTACACACGCTGATAAGGCAGTAGATACGCCTCCCCTAAAATCCCAACCCCTTCGCACACAACCAGCCCATTGCCGCACAGTGTACGTCATGCACATAGCGCCACTCTAGATGGGGGATGAGAAGGAATTTGAAGTGTTCTTTGCCAAGCCGATAATGGGATACCCTTACCCTTTTGGCTTTAATGGGTGTTCCTCAAATGTTATTTACAATCTCTGTAAAATCTCAATATTTGTTATGTAGTATTTTATAATCATTATTCCAAGAGCGTGCCTCATCCACAAATCCAGATAGTGCCTGTTCCTATATAACCAAGAGATTTATATGTGTTTCCCACACCCTTCTGCCAAGAACAAATGTACCCCAACCGCCGAGGCGAGGCGCCGAGCGTGGATGTAACTAAAGAGCTTCCTCCCGCGTACGCGAGTAAAATGTAAAGTGGCTGCCATGACGCCAGCCTGTCCAGTGGCTGTCTGTCCCATGGCCGCAGTGCCCCTTGATTCATGTGGCGATCTCTAGATGAAAGTTGACACTGCTGTCGGGTAGTTTTAATTGAGATTGCTGGCCCACCGAGTGGGCGACTGCAATTCTCTGGGACCTTGACAGTGCTTGGCCATTAGAAACGCTTGTACATTACGCATACGCCATGTCATCTCCGCTCTTAGCCCAAACCAAATACAGACAGCAACCACATGAAACACTCTAACTAAATACAAAGAAAACCCAAAACTGCCACTGCTTTTCTAGGCCTTTAATGTGCAACAGCAGCAGTCGCCACATCAGCAGCAGCAGCAGCAGCAACAACAGCATCAGCAGCAGCAACAGCAGCAGCAGCGGCAGCAGCAACAGCAGTCGCAGGGGCAAACATTTCGGTATCCGGTGCTGCTGCTGAACAAGAACAAGAACAAGGAGCTGACCGTGGTGGCAACGGGCAAGACAAAGAACAAGTGGCGCTATGTTGATAAAGTAAATATGTAACCAGAACACTCAAACAGACACACTCACACTTAAACACTCAAACACACA